GGGGGGGGGGGAGGATCCAATGTTTTGATAGCTAACACCTCGACTGTGCATAGAATGATAAACCAAAGGCGTTTCGGCAGAGGTGCGGAAAGCCTGATCAACATTGATAGTGTGCCGTGTGTCCAGTATATGTTGACAGATAGCGCTTTTCACCATCCTAGATTAACCTTGTCTCAACCAGCAGGAGGGAGGGGTTGTTTGCGTGTCCTGTTTGTTGGCTGAATGGGCTGAGATGGATGTATGCGGTTTGGGGGGATTTGGGGGGGGGCTGGTTATCTTTGAGGTCGAACCGTATTACTGAAGATGTAGTGAACTTCATGCGCTGTTCAGCTGTTATAAACGTTTGACGCAACACTTGCTCGATTCGTCGTGTAAGCCACTCAGTCATGTAATCACCTTTGGACGGTAGTTGCAAATAAAGTGTTTTCTTGTTGACCGTGTAAACAACCGGTGGTGCGGGCATCTCTGTTAGCTGTTTATCTATGAAGCTACCCGGATAACTAATCCCAAGAAGGTAGTTTTGACGTGTTCAAGTTCTTCTGCTACGGTATTGGGAGAGTAAATTTTTCGTGCCTCCATAGGCATCGCACCAAATTTCTCTACTGTTTCAATGGCACGAAGATATTGATATTCATGCTTTGACTGGTCCATGTAGGTTTTCTGTATACTCTTCTCTGGATAATTCCATACGGGTTTCGGATTAGCAGGGCAACTAGGAATTGGATTCGATCATTGTTCTCTTTCTCGCTAGTGAATTTACCTATATTGTGGCTTGCGTCGAATTTCTCCAGCACAAATTCATCGTTTATTGTGTACTTTTTAGGAAAAATTTATCGTCCATGTATCAATATTACACATTGAATTTGTGTCCAGTGACTTGTAAGATTGTACTCTCGAGTTTCCCCATAAATATGTCCGCTAACACTGGTACCAACGGAGATCCCATTGCACCTCCGTTCGTCTGTTGGTAGATTCGATCATCGAACGGGAAATGCACGCCAAAAGTGCACCCAAGCAGAAGCTGTTTCAGACTGGGACGGGGTATTCCGATTTCCAAATGATTATCTGCTATGAATTCTCATACGAACTCGATAGTCTATAGAAGTGGGGACTTTCGTGAATAGAGAAGTCACATCTATAGGAAGTGCACTGTTTGTGATAAAATGTTTCTGTTTCCGTTTGACGAATTCGAATGTGTCTTTCAGACAGAGATTTATTGTCTGACGGTTCTGACAATCGCGCTAACCATTTGGCCGTTGCGTGATACGGGGAGCTTGACATATCCAGGATTGGTCGGTTTGTGTACTTTTGGGAGGCCAAATAATCGTGGTATTGTCGAGCCTTGTGGTTTTTTTACAGATCATAGGTTGCCATTAATTCTTTCGGGAAATTCAAGCACTTCGTCATTTGCTGTTCTATCAGTTCTGTTCTGTCTTTCTGCCCTGTATCCTCTCGAAATTTACTCCCGTCTGCTACGATAGCATTCACTTTTTCTAGCTTGTTTTGCCTACCGAACTTTGTTTACAACGTGAAGTTTTTTTTAAAGCTAGTCAAAAATTAGATAAAGCAATCAAACTGTTTTAGGAAAAATCAATTATTATTGCCTAACTATCTGTTCTTTGACTGGAGCGCGAACGTGCTGCCTTTCCTGATGCAAGCAGCGTGAAGTAAAATGCGAAGAACAAATGAATCCGTATTGACCATTTTATGCTTGTTGTGCTCTAAAACTGACCGACACGTTTGGCCGGGATGATGGACTGATTGGTTCACTGATTGATTCGCTAACTGCCTGCTTGACCGCATTTGAATGGCGTGTGATGCTTGAGACATTTGTCGGCCTGCCTACCTACGGGTTACTCACTCCTGCTTCCTAATCGGTCTACGGACCGGTTACTTGTGTGACTACTGTAATAAACATCCTGTTTTGTTAACTGTGTGCTTATTGACTTACTTAAGTGGGACAAAACAGCACTTGTACTTAAATTGCCCAGTGATGGAATTCTGCCCGAATCAGTCTGCATCTCCACGGATCGTCTGTCGCGTGTTTGTGTCCGTTAAAGTCTCACTGCGGTACAACGAAACTTCTTTCTGTTACACAAGGATATTTCGGCAATGAAAGTTCACCAGATGAATGTAATCCAAAAAAACTCTAGAGCCCTTGATCTGGTGATCGATTCAGTTTCAAATATTATTCGTTGAAAACTAGCAACAGTGAACAGCTGATCCATGTTTTGCTATGCTTATCTCTCGTTGATCCCTACCACATATTTGTGCAACGTCTAACTATGCTGTACCTTCTTACGAACTCGATAGTGAATAGATGGTGCGAATGAAGAAGCAAACAGGTTTAGACTTACATCTGAGCATGTGGGGTTGTTTGTGAACCATGAAAAACGTTTGGGTTGCGCATAATTCGCTTACGAATGAAATCCCACCTCAGCGTGCGTTTACACACGGTCAACCAAACACTCTGGGATTTTGATGAATTCGAGGGTATTTACAACTAGGCGAAGCTGTCCATTCATTCTTCATAGTTTGGACTTCGGTTTTGGCGTCATACTATGCATAGGCAATTGCGGACACACTGGTGTATGGGCTTTTTGCTGTCCGTTTAGGATCGAGTGGGTGTGAACAGTCAAGATCTCGGTAACTCAAAAGAGGACAATTCAGTCGAACATAGGTATGTGGTGTGTGCGTATAATCGACTGAAGCGGTGGCGGAAGGCCAAACCAATGAACTGAAACAAAGTAACGCTAATGGTGCAACCCAATTCCCTCATAAAGTCATCCACATTCCAAAATGGAATAGATGAATTCCAGGGAAAAGTGAGAAAGATCACAAAGACTGTGATTATAATAAAAATATGAAACATCACCTTTCATAAAATTTCGATCAAAGGTTTTCTCCCTATCAGCATCTATTTCAGGAATAACCTAGAAGTAGACAATATTAAACGACCTATGAAAAGTTGCATTGTAAAAGGCGGTAACAAACCGCGAATGCGAAAGGAAGTATAACAGTTTTTCCTATAAAATAACTCAAAGGTTTGCAATCGGGTTTTCTAAACAAATTATGTGAATAAAAAGCGTATAGAATTGAAAACAGTCTCTTTTTCTACCTCAGTTTTGAATAATCCAATGACAGTGATTTTTGTCCAGTTGCGAGAAACTCAATAAAAGATAACACAGAATTAGAGGGAACACATTATTGTATCGGAGGTGTGAGCGTCGTCAGATATGAACCATTAGACAATAAAATTTCTTTAACGAACCACCCACTGCTTGAAAAGTAGCTACAGACTCCCCTGAGTTGGTTGGTACATTTTCTACTGATGATCCGTCTCGTAGGTGACACGAAGTTCCGTAATTGCTTATTTATTTTCGGATTTACTTTCACGTCGCTGGACATCGCTTCCCGCCGAAAAGCTCTTAGAAAAATTAAGTTTTTCCCCTTAAATCCTGGTAGCATCTGCTGCCATGCGGACTTTCCCTAAGCAGTCCCATCTCACATCCATCAACATCATCGGTTTAAGCGGAAAGAGCGGTGAAGAGTAATTACGACTCGACTGTCTACAATCGATAACAATAAAGTTCTGCACACTCCAACGATCTTACCCCAGCCCTATCTAAAGATGATTAAGTAATTCTTGATAATGAACTGGTGGTCTTGTTCTCCGAGGTTTGGAACACTGAACAGACCCGATCTACTTCGGGGGTAAATAAGAGGGCCCAAACAATGACTGCGTCAGCCATAGGGAAGAAGCCTGATTCAAATAGCGTCAGAGTTGTTGGCGTCCGTCATCCATTCCTTTTCATCTTTGCCTTAGAGAGGATGTTCTACAGTTCAGCAAACAGTGGAGTTGAATTTGTACCAAGGACTAGAGTCCTTGACTTGGAATATGCCGTGGACATCGACTTAATGGATGATATAACAGCATCAGTTCGACTTGCTATGAACCGATTGGAGATAGAGGTATTCAGGTATCGTATGCACTTCGTGCTATCTAAGTTTAAGATTGCTGTG